CCACTTTGCTTTATATATATATATATATATATATATATATATATATATATATATATATATATATATATACATATGTATGTATATATATATATAAATATGTATGTATGTATATATATGTATATATATGTATATATATGTATGTATATATATATATATGTATGTATATATATATATGTATATATATATATATATATATATGTATGTATATGTATGTATATATATGTATATATATGTATGTATATATATATAAATATATAAATATATATATATATATATATATATATATATATATATATATATATATATATATATATATATATATATATATATATATATATGTATATGTATATATATATATATATATATATATATATATATATATATATATATATATATATATATATGTATATGTATATATGTATATATATGTATATATATGTATGTATATATATATATATGTATGTATATATATATATGTATATATATATATATATATATATATATATATATATATATATATATATATATATATATATATATATATATATATATATATATATATGTATATATATATAAATATGTATATATATATATATATATATATATATATATATATATATATATATATATATATATATATATATATATATATATATATATATATATATATACTAGCTGCATACCTGCTGTTCTTTCATCTTGAGCAATCGCCCCAGAATCTCCTGCAGACAAAAAGTGAATATGTATTTCAATAGTATCACCATTCGGAACCTTTAAGACTACTAAACCCAACAGTAATCTCTTAATACTTTATACATAATTAGCCCCCCCCCCCCTCACTGAGTGGCATACGCAAGATAGTCGCATGGGTAGTTTCAATATTTTTGAGAGTATATATATATATATATATATATATATATATATATATATATATATATATATATATATATATATATATATATATATATATATGTATCCCTTTTATAAAACATAAACTTTAACAGCGTCTATAACCCCCACCCCCCCCTTCCCAGGAGCAAAATGTTCTACACCTTACACTTACCCCACAGTTCTACACCACACACTTACCCCACAGTTCTACACCACACACTTACCCCACAGTTCTACACCACACACTTACCCCACAGTTCTACACCACACACTTACCCCACAGTTCTACACCACACACTTACCCCACAGTTCTACACCACACACTTACCCCACAGTTCTACACCACACATCTCTAAACAACACATTCACCCCACACTCCACACACCCACCCACAAATCTACTCCCCGCACTCACCCGTCTTGTCCAAAGAATTGTCCACTGATTGTGATGACGAGTCAGTACTTTGCTCCTCAAAACCTAGGGGTTAAATGCAGAGATGTTCAATTTTGTTGTTAAATGCAGAGATGTTCAATTTTGTTGTTAAATGCACAGATGTTCAATTTTGTTCTTAAATGCAGAGATGTTCAATTTTGTTGTTAAATGCACAGATGTTCAATTTTGTTGTTAAATGCACAGATGTTCAATTTTGTTGTTAAATGCACAGATGTTCAATTTTGTTGTTAAATGCACAGATGTTCAATTTTGTTGTTAAATGCACAGATGTTCAATTTTGTTGTTAAATGCACAGATGTTCAATTTTGTTGTTAAATGCACAGATGTTCAATTTTGTTGTGGTAAAAGGTCTATATTTTAAAATATATTATTTTATTTTAAATTTGCAGAAAAGTCTCCGCCAACAAGGATAAATAAGGAACTAAAATTGGATTGATCTCAATTAATCGTTTTCGTATATTACATTTTATTTTCTTACATCCCGATCTGGGAAGTCTGGGTGGTAGTTTGAGATCCCCCCCCCCCCAAAAAAAAAAGCTATGATCAAAGAAATATGGCGCCTGCTTTGTTTACATTTAAATAACTCAGTTTCGGAAAACAAGGTTACGCGTCAAAAATATTTCACAATCGGGTAACGCATTGATGAAAACTTCTTAAAATAATGCGTCAGCATTTCTTTAGGGCCGCAGCAACGCGCTTGACGTTCACGTTAGTGGCACACAACTGTGCACAATAAAATATAATTTGTTATTAGCGTTAGTGGCACACAACTGTGCACAATAAAATATAATTTGTTATTAGCGTTAGTGGCACACAACTGTGCACAATAAAATATAATTTGTTATTAGCGTTAGTGGCACACAACTGCACAATATAATTTGTTATTAGCGTTAGTCAAAACTGACTTACATGTCTTAATGTGAGTTACATGACACAATGTAGCTGACAGACATTTGACATAAGGTGACTGACAGACATATGACATAAGGTGACTGACAGACATATGACATAAGGTGACTGACAGACATATGACATAAGGTGACTGACAGACAAATTGACTAACTGAATGACACCCCACCGGTGACATGACAAAATGACTCACTTGGAGAATGGCACAGGCTATTCTCTTTATTGACACCCTCTAATCTCCTTTTTCTAATGTCTAAACTGGCAACACTGTAACCTGGTTTCAGAGACAGAAAATATTTTATAGGTCAGCAGCTCATAAAAATGACATTGAAAACAAGAGAGGGAAAATATGAAAAATGTTGGGGAAGATTTGTTTGGTGTTTGGTGTTTCCACTTAACAGAACTCACCAACTCTGATGGCTTGAGAGACGAAGTCGTGAATTCCTATAATTTCTGTGCTGCGCTTCTCGTCCAAAGCTGTAAAAAAAAAAGAACTAGTCAAGTAATTGCTAACCACCTTTATCATTGACATATGGTGTACTAGCTGTGTTAGCTAACCACCTTTATCGTTGACATATGGTGTACTAGCTGTGTTAGATCGCGCGTGACCGTGCAATGGCGAGCTTGTCCTGTGCTGAGTTGAGTTAGTTTAGGTTTGTTTAGGTTTGTTTGGTTTTGTTTAGTTTTGTTTAGGTTTGTTTAGGTTTGTTTAGGTTAGGTTAGTTTAGGTTTGTTTAGGTTTGTTTAGTTTTGTTTAGGTTTGTTTAGGTTTGTTTAGGTTTGTTTAGGTTAGGTTAGGTTAGGTTTGTTTAGGTTTGTTTAGGTTTGTTTAGGTTTGTTTAGGTTTGTTTAGGTTAGGTTAGGTTAGGTTAGGTTTGTTTAGATTTGTTTAGGTTTGTTTAGGTTTGTTTAGGATTGTTTAGGATTGTTTAGGTTAGGTTAGGTTAGGTTAGGTTAGGTTAGGTTAGGTTAGGTTAGGTTTGGTTTGGTTAGGTTAGGTTAGGTTTGGTTAGGTTTGTTTAGGTTAGGTTAGGTTAGGTTAGGTTAGGTTAGGTTAAGTTAGGTTAGGTTAGGTTAGGTTAGGTTTGGTTTGGTTTGGTTTGGTTAGGTTAGATTAGGTTAGGTTAGGTTAGGTTAGGTTAGGTTAGGTTAGGTTAGGTTAGGTTAGGTTAGGTTTGATATGGAGATCTCATGAATGAGCAAAGCTTTTTTTATTAAGCAAAGCAACTTTGTTTTATTACAATCTTTTATTTAACTTTTTTATTCTTTCTGTCTGTTTGTCTTTCTGTCTGTTTGTCTTTCTGTCTGTCTTTCTGTCTGCTTGTCTTTCTGTCTGTTTGTCTTTCTGTCTGTTTGTCTTTCTGTCTGTTTGTCTTTGTCTGTTTGTCTTTCTGTCTGTTTGTCTTTCTGTGTGTTTATCTTTCTGTCTGTTTGTCTTTCTGCCTGTTTGTCTTTCTGTCTGTCTTTCTGTTGAGCGAAATTTCAATCACTTCTAATATACCGATTCATTTTAAACTTTGCATGCAAGTCAAGGTCCGATTAAAATGCAATCAGACAACAAATTTGACTTAATTGAATGCCTGATTAAGATTTTATGAATTAATTAAAATTTCCCCCATAAAATACTTTTTACCGCGCTATTATGTGCGCAATTTTTCGTGTTCATTTGGTGCGCCATTGTTTTTACTTATGCAACTCATCGTATTAAAATTTTTGAACTACTAAAAAAATCCACTAAAAAGGAGATAACAAATTATTTTCTTTAAATAGAATAATAAACCATTATTTAAATATCTAAAAATGAAAGCTATGGTCACAATATTATGTTTGAATACTTTGACTAGAATTTAGTTTTGTTGTTAAAACTTTTTTCATACATTTAAAAAATAACTTTCAGACTGCTGAAAGCTTTTTATTATAGAAACGATTTTTTTTGTTTTATTAGGCTATTTCCGTGTTGATCATAGATTAAGTTCATGCTAGGCCGTATTTGTCATAGATTATGTTCGTGCTAGGCCGTGTTTGTCATAGATTAAGTTCGTGCTAGGCCGTGTTTGTCATAGATTAAGTTCGTGCTAGGCCGTATTTGTCAGATTATGTTCGTGCTAGGCCGTATTCGTCAGATTATGTTCGTGCTAGGCCGTGTTTGTCATCAAACATGATCACGTGACATTAGTTCAAGTATTTACTCATGTCCGGTTCATTGATGCATTTTCGGGAGCATCCAAAAAACCGATACCACTCGTTCATGGCGCTGTCGCTAGCCACACAGTACAGGGCGAATATGTAGATGCTCTGAAAAGATGATTGACAAAACTGCTTTGGGTAAGTCATTCTTAATAAATGACAAAACAGTTTATGACAAATCACATTTAGTAAATATATTTAATTTGTAATTCAACTTCCATAACTAGGCCTACTTTTTTTTTACTATCTCGTATACAAAGTATAGAAAAAGTATTGTAATCGTGCAAAAAAAAAATCGAGATTTTTGCAAATCTCGACGTTTTACACCCCACTGAGTCGGAAAAAAACTTAGTTTTGCAATCTTGTCAGTATGTCTGAGTGTGTATGTGTGTGTGTGCATGTTTGTATGTTAACACGATAACTTGAGTACCGTTACAGCTAGGTTGATGAAATTTCATATATATGTATTATATCAAATGTGTAGTTCTGTATCAACTTTTCAGCGATTTTCGGTAACCGAAAGTGGAAGTTATTCTACTTTTAATTTTTCAAAAGCTATAACTTGAGTAATATTTCAGATAGATAAAATGTCACATGTAAGTTAAAGATCTTATTTTCTGCCTTCTTTCGAATTGTGAGTATTTTCCGTTGACCAGAACTAGCAAATTTACACTATTCCCGATTTCTCAAAAAATGCACGTGAATTTGTACTAGTAATATTCCGCACTATTATACATATTTTTTTTTGGCGTTCACATCGTGCGCAATTCTTTTATGTACGAGATTCTATTCTATTTTAAAAAGTTAAGGTAATTAAAAATGGATTAAAAAGCATGTCTATATCCCGAGTTGCCATCCCCCGTAGTGTTATATAGGAATATTTGAGAAAGTTTAGGGGCGATCACTCCCGGTTTATTTCATTGGGGGCGAGGGGGAGATGGTTTATTTTTGTTATCTGAATGTTATATTGTGGGATTTGTTGTATAATCTTTAAAGTATTTATACTTAGCTATATCGTTATTTTATCAAAATGGTTTTTGCTCATTTAAAAAAAAATTGAAATATGTTTTGCTAGTTCACTGGTTCTATGTTGACATTAAAAAAAAACTTTTCTGAAGGTCGAAATGCAATTTTGTGATTGAGAATCGTCATGATTACCTGACAGGTGTTAAAGAAAGCAAACAGGTAGTTCAAGAATTGATTGGTATTGCCAACAGCAACAACAGCAAACGACCAGGTGAACGCTAGCAGCAAGAGCATACCAGTGTAGGTGGCAAATGATTTTAAAACCCTGAAAGACAACACACATATAGTGGTTAGATTCTAGCGATCCTAAACAAGACACGCTCAACTGAGCATTGAATGTCAACAACTAAACACCGACAGACAACTCTATTTTGAACCGACGTCAGCACATAAACATTCGTCTGTACCATCTCACGTTTAGCATTCGGACATTTAACATTCGGACATTTAACATTCGGACACTTCAAAATGTCAGGGAAAAGGTAGAGGACTGTAACAAAGGTAGTACCAACATATTTCTGCGCTACATTTTTTAAACCCACAACACTTTGGCTATCACGTGACGTAGTTGGCCAGGTCTGGGACCAAACGTCTAATATCTGGGACCAAACGTCTAAAATCTGGGACCAAACGTCTAAAATCTGGGACCAAACGTCTAATATCTGGGACCAAACGTCTAATATCTGGGACCAAACGTCTAATATCTGGGACCAAACGTCTAAAATCTGGGACCAAACGTCTAAAATCTGGGACCAAACGTCTAATATCTGGGACCAAACGTCTAATATCTGGGACCAAACGTCTAATATCTGGGACCAAACGTCTAATATCTGGGACCAAATGTCTAATATCTGGGACAAAACGTCTAATATCTGGGACCAAACATCGAATATCTGGGACCAAAGGACTAATATCCGGGACCAAACGTCTAAAATCTGGGACCAAAGGTCTAATATCTGGGACCAAACGTCTAATATCTGGGACCAAACGTCTAATATCTGGGACCAAACGTCTAATATCTGGGACCAAATGTCTAATATCTGGGACCAAAGGTCTAATATCCGGTACCAAAGGTCTATTATCTGGGACCAAACGTCTAATATCTGGGACCAAACGTCTAATATCTGGGACCAAATGTCTAATATCTGGGACCAAAGGTCTAATATCTGGGACCAAACGTCTAATATCTGGGACCAAACGTCTAATATCTGGGACCAAACGTCTAATATCTGGGACCAAATGTCTAATATCTGGGACAAAACGTCTAATATCAGGGACCAAAGGTCTAATATCTGGGACTAAACGTCTAATATCTGGGACCAAACATCGAATATCTGGGACCAAAGGTCTAATATCCGGTACCAAAGGTCTATTATCTGGGACCAAACGTCTAATATCTGGGACCAAACGTCTAATATCTGGGAACAAAGGTCTAATATCTGGGACCAAACGTCTAATATCTGGGACCAAACGTCTAATATCTTGGACCAAACGTCTAATATCTGGGACCAAATGTCTAATATCTGGGACCAAACGTCTAATATCTGGGACCAAACGTCTAATATCTGGGACCAAACGTCTAATATCTGGGACCAAATGTCTAATATCTGGGACCAAAGGTCTAATATCTGGGACCAAAGGTCTAATATCTGGGACCAAAGGTCTAATATCTGGGACCAAAGGTCTAATATCTGGGACCAAAGGTCTAATATCTGGGACCAAAGGTCTAATATCTGGGACCAAACGTCTAATATCTGGGACCAAACGTCTAAAATCTGGGACCAAACGTCTAATATCTGGGACCAAACGTCTAATATCTGGGACCAAATGTCTAATATCTGGGACCAAAGGTCTAATATCTGGGACCAAACGTCTAATATCTGGGACCAAACGTCTAATATCTGGGACCAAACGTCTAATATCTGGGACCAAAGGTCTAATATCTGGGACCAAACGTCTAATATCTGGGACCAAACGTCTAATATCTGGGACCAAACGTCTAATATCTCGGACCAAAGGTCTAATATCTGGGACCAAACGTCTAATATCTGGGACCAAACGTCAAATATCTGAGTCTAATGCACATTCCAAAGAACAAGAAAAGAAGAAAAAAAAAACAGACTTGATGTGTGCTAGGCCGAGTTGTCTGCTCTTGACGTGAAGGTTGATTATTTTAATGCAGATGAGAATGATGGGGACACTGTTGAGCAGTAGGACAGCACTCAGGGGCCCCACCATCGCCAACCCGACAGCCGCTCCCTGCAGCCAGCATCTGTGGAGTAGAGTCAACAAAGCTCACGTCTCTAGACGGAAAGTGAGTAGAGTCAACAAAGCTCACGTCTCTAGACGGAAAGTGAGTAGAGTCAACAAGGCTCACGTCTCTAGACGGAAAGTGAGTAGAGTCAACAAGGCTCACGTCTCTAGACGGAAAGTGAGTAGAGTCAACAAGGCTCACGTCTCTAGACGGAAAGTGAGTAGAGTCAACAAGGCTCACGTCTCTAGACGGAAAGTGAGTAGAGTCAACAAAGCTCACGTCTCTAGACGGAAAGTGAGTAGAGTCAACAAGGCTCACGTCTCTAGACGGAAAGTGAGTAGAGTCAACAAAGCTCACGTCTCTAGACGGAAAGTTCGCTTTTCCCAGTTAGGAAACTAATTTCAGACGAGTTAAAATTGTGGACTGGGTCATGTCATATCATAAAAAATATAAATAGTTGCAACAAAAACTTGTGTTGAACCAATCGCCTCAGTTTTTGAGCCAACGATCACGTGACTAGTCAAGAGAAAAAAAAAGCTTACATTCCGGTGTGATCTGGACCGTAGTTGTCCGGTTCAGCCACTAACGTCACGCACACACTCAGGGCTGGGAGGCCTGGAGAATGTTACCTCATCAAATTATTCACAACACTAAACGTACTTTTTAGTCATCCAAAGCACTAAAGTTACGTCTTAGTTAACTTACTTAATACAACAGAGGCGTAGATCGGGGAGGGCTGGTGGGGCAGCCGCCCCAGGCCCCGACCCTAATGTGGCACCAAACGAGGTAGAAAAAAATAAAAATTTCACTATGAGCTGCATTACTGAATTATACTCAATCAAAATTCAGGGCTGCAACTTGACTTTCCAGACTAATTGAAATGTTTCTACATCAATTGTGTGAAACTAAAATAAAAACTGTTACGGGACAGTGATTACTAAAGAAAGGCCTCCACCTTTCGTCAAATTTAAGTAAATATATAGAAATGGGCGAGGGCGAAAAATTTGATAGTTCACCTAGGCGCTAGAATATCTCTCAACAACACTAAACTTATGTCTCAGTCAAATCGACTGCAACACTAAACTTACGGATTAGTTTCTTTACTTCTTCCAACAATCTTAAAAAAAATATTGAACATGGCGAGTGTTTAAAGTCTGACCTAGGTTTAGTCTCACTAATCCGGGCTTTATTTTCACTAATCCATGCTGACTAACGTAGTAAAAAATGTAATATTAATAGGTTTGTAGCGCAGATTTCTTATGAAACCATCTGTGAACCCCGGAGTTGGTGAGCTTACCCCACGCTATACAGAAGCAAGTCATAAAAAAATATGGAGCCTTCGGATTGAGATGATTGAGCATGGAACCGTGGAGGTGAAAGGTCGTGAAGGTCAACCAGGTGAGTGAGCTCAGCATCAGGTAGTGTAGTGCCGCAGCAACCACCTGTAGAGAGAACAAAAGGGTGTGAGTGTAGTGCCGCAGCAACCACCTGTAGAGAGAAAAGGGTGCGAGTGTAGTGCCGCAGCAACCACCTGTAGAGAGAACAAAAGGGTGTGAGTGTAGTGCCGCAGCAACCACCTGTAGAGAGAACAAAAGGGTGTGAGTGTAGTGCCGCAGCAACCACCTGTAGAGAGAACAAAAGGGTGCGAGTGTAGTGCCGCAGCAACCACCTGTAGAGAGAACAAAAGGGTGCGAGTGTAGTGCCGCAGCAACCACCTGTAGAGAGAACAAAAGGGTGTGAGTGTAGTGCCGCAGCAACCACCTGTAGAGAGAACAAAAGGGTGCGAGTGTAGTGCCGCAGCAACCACCTGTAGAGAGAACAAAAGGGTGCGAGTGTAGTGCCGCAGCAACCACCTGTAGAGAGAACAAAAGGGTGGGGGGGAGGGCAGCAATTCAAGAACTCAGCACAGAAGCAAGCTCTGGGGTAGGGGAACATCAAGCATGGGTGTGGGATGGTAACATCAAGCATGAGTGTGGGATGGTAACATCAAGCATGGGTGTGGGATGGTAACATCAAGCATGGGTGTGGGATGGTAACATCAAGCATGAGTGTGGGATGGTAACATCAAGCATGGGTGTGGGATGGTAACATCAAGCATGGGTGTGGGATGGTAACATCAAGCATGGGTGTGGGATGGTAACATCAAGCATGGGTGTGGGATGGTAACATCAAGCATGGGTGTGGGATGGTAACATCAAGCATGAGTGTGGGATGGTAACATCAAGCATGGGTGTGGGATGGTAACAACGGTTCAAGACCGCAACCAACAACAAAGGAGGGGGGGGGGGGTGGGGGTGGCATGTACATCAGGTGTTGTGGTCGTGTTGAGTTGACGGAATTCCTATAGGGGTGGCATGTACGTCAGGTGTTGTGGTCGTGTTGACGGAATTCCTATAGGGGTGGCATGTACGTCAGGTGTTGTGGTCGTGTTGAGTTGACGGAATTCCTATAGGGGTGGCATGTACGTCAGGTGTTGTGGTCGTGTTGAGTTGACGGAATTCCTATAGGGGTGGCATGTACGTCAGGTGTTGTGGTCGTGTTGACGGAATTCCTACCTTACAAAGAACCGAGTCCTCGACAGTGTGCGTTAACAGGCCCAGCATGAAGAAGACGTTGAAGAAAAACAGGGTCAACCACAGGTTGTAGATGATCTTAGACCTGATGGTTTCTCGCAGGCTTCTGCGAAAAATACACTCATTCATATTCATGTACGTGCAGGGTACACTAAGTCTTACTCATGCATGTGCACGCAGGGAAAAACTTGCATACAAATTTAGGCTAAAGTGAATGTAATCTAGTCTATTAAGCTGTAGGTCAAGAATAAATGTAGAAAGTAGGTTTAAGATTTCGGAATTAAGCTTGAATGAAGGCGTCTGAAGGTGTCTGGACTGGGTTAAGTATATGCTGGAGAGGTTTAGTTTTCTCACAGCTTATATATACAACCACAAAATACGAACATAGGATACTCATTTCTGACCTGATCGGGGTTTAAAAAAAACAAATTTTAAGGAACTTAAAAGGGACCAAAAAGCGCGGATGTGCTTCTATCCATCAGTACCGAAGTTGGGATGGTCTCAGCTGCTTTTCTTAAAGCCTTATTGTAAAACGATCATGGGAGAGAATTCTAATTATACACGATAACTATCACATATTTTGTAAAACAAAAATAAGTAAAGCCGAAATTATTGTTTTTATATTCATTTTGATTATTGGTAGAATACAGGATAGTACAGAATAGTTGTTCTACCAATACAACAAACGTACATTTTACATTGTAAAATCACAATGGATTGTGGGCCCCTTTCCAACGCTATAAAGAAGCAAAAGTCGTCTTAATATCAAGCGCATCTCGCGCAATGGACTTTGATTTTTTTTTCAAAAGAATTTTGCCGACAACAGAGTTTGATTGTAGGAGAAAGAGGACTCGGCTCTCACAGTGGTATAAACAAAGGGAAAAAAAATACAATAACGTGGGGTGGTGTCTATAGAATAAAGATAATCCAATCGCAGCTACGGTAATCATTTTTACAAAACAACCATCAAGTCAAAACTGCAAGAAAATATTTTTTTCAACAATAAAAAATTGATTATGGTCGGCTGTGGTCCACTAAACGGAGTGCCCCCCCACCCCCGCCGCATTGCGGGGTCTGGCAGCACCGTAGTTCCGCCCCTGGTGACATGTAAGGGGTGTAACACTCACCAAATAAATATGATAACGCGCGTATAATAGTGCCGAAAAGTAGGATAAGACAGCCTACTAATTTCAGAAAATTATAATTAATTTAAAAAATTAATTAGGCATCCAAATTAACTCTAATTTAATGTCATATTGCGTTGTCTTCAATTTACATTTGACCGACGTGCCAAATTAGAAACAAATCTGTGAAGAAATGACCCAAATTTTGCCTGCCCGTTTCGATCTATGACGACCTAGGAAGCTAGTTAAATAAAAGCTTGTAATAAATTATTTCTGATTTCGCGCTGCCTTAGATCTGTCATATAAATCTTTGTTCCTTAGCAAATAATTAGAATAAATTGGGATGTAATAATTTAATTAAAAAAAACCTTTTGCGTAATTGTTTTGCTGTTTCGTCAAGAAAATAGGACGGGGGGGGGGGGGGGGGGGGGGCTATACCAGTAGGCCTCGAAGTTCACGACAAGTTAATGAAAACTGACCGCGACTGAACAGCGCCTTTTATAAGCTATACATAAAAAAATGGCGAGGTTGAAGACGTAAGGGTGCCAGACTAAAAGTGACGTACCTGTGAAATATTTTTTAAACCGGTCAAAGATGACTAGAGGCCATATTTTCATCATGTCAAAATTTGAAAAGTTTCAAGAAGTATTTAGGGTACTTCGACTTTATTTATGTGGCCATTTTTTTAATTGACCTAGGTAATTCACTCGGCAATATACGATAATTCTCGGTATGATTCTATATCTGCAAAGTTTGTTAAAACTAATAAAATGACTACTTAATTTTCTTTACTACAGAAATAATTTTAATACATGTTAAATTCTGTATCTAATCTATATAAAAAGTTCAAATCTGTATGTATGTGGCCAACCGCAGATTCCAAAGGAATATAAGAAAATAATTGACCACATCCTCATAGTGTTATACGTCTAAAGTGCTCATCGTCTAAATTCATGATTTTAATAAAATTAATATTGAAGGTGTTGTAAAACTATTTTCATTTTTCAAACTTAATGTGATAATTGTCGGCATGTCCATCAAACAAAATGAATAAAAAATGTATCACCTTTCACAAAAATTCTAAGTGTGTCTGAAAATTATTTACATTTAGTTTTTTAACACTTATTACGTCCATTGATAAATTAGCAAAGCACAATTACTTCCCTTTATAAAAACCATTTCATCGGGGGGGGGGGGGGAAGAGGGGTTACTTTTTATTATGGTGTTGGGAAAAAAAAATTACGAATTAGCGGGGATTAATGAAGCGCAATGTGGTAGGTATTTTAAATACTCCCTATTATTATTTTTATACACTGAACGTAGTTTACTCATTTAAAAAAATTATAATAACCGTTAAGAAGACAGCGCCGAAATGTCCTCTTTACTTCTTTCCGTTTGCGGATAAGCTTGGGGTATTATAATTGAAACAGGCGCGTCCGCCGGCGCCTCGGTAGGGTTTGATTTGGCGCCCTGTGCTATACTGCGAGCGCCATGTTGAATAATTTTGTTTGAAACAGTGTGATAGACTATAGATAAGAAAGGTTACTATAATCTTTAAGTGAATCAAATCTGGGCGTCCACAGGCGCCCAGACCGGGTGCTATTTGGCGCCCCGGGCCTTCCCGTGTTCGCTATGGCGCCTACGTTTGTTTAAGTGAGTGCCAAAGACTATGAATAAGTTGGGGTACTATAGTCGTTTACCAAGCTGGTGCAATTTGGCGCCCCGGGCTAGACTGTGAGCACTTTGAATTTATGTTTATGTTTATGTTTGCGTTTGTGATTTCTTTGTTTTTGGGTTGTGTTTGCGTTTGTGGTTGAGTTTGTGTTTGGTCTGTGTTTGGTTTGTTTTCGTTTACTTTTTTGTTTGCGTTTGTGTTTGCATTTTCTCTGTGTTTGTATTTGTATTTGAGTTTGTGTTATGTTTTTTTTTGTGTTTTGGTTTTGGTTGCTTGTGGTTAGGGTGGGCCGGATTATGCTGATTACAAAACCCACATGTCATGGTCCTTTACAGAGTTTTTTCACAGAGGCCAGTGCAGGGCCTGGCCGGGACGGCTAGTCATTTAAAATTGTAGAAATTACATAATATACATAAAATTAATAACAATTTTAAAATTATACTCTCCACGAGACCTAAGCAGTTCTGTTCACACTAGGCATAATGCCCAGCTTCGCTTAGGCTTTCGAAAACATTGAGAATTTGAATGCTTAATTAATTCGCCCATATAAGGCGCCGGTCAGTCAAGGTCAGTTTTAACCCCCTCATCATAGACTTTTCGGCCAACCGGCCCCCGTTTTATGTCCCCCCAAGGCAAGATCCTGCCAAATTTGAAGCGCCTGCGGCGCCGGGAAGTGCCCTATCGGGCACCCGACAACTTAGCTTTATATATTATAGAGATTAGCAAATTGCATAGATAAACAAAGATTTTTAAAAAAGTAATTAAGGCCTGAAATACTTTAGTATAGAAATGTATTATTTGAATAGATTCTAGATCTAGGTAGGGTCTACATCTGTGTACGTCTAGTTTTTCCGTAGATCTAGATAATCTAGATCTAGAATCTCTAGATCTAGATGATCTAGAATCTCTAGATCTAGATGATCTAGAATATCTAGATCTAGAATCTCTAGATCTAGAATCCAAATAGATAAAATAATTTTTTAAGTTTAGGCCGAGAAAATCATATTGTATACTTTTCATAACGTACATAGCTCTAAATCATATTTGAATGAAATAGTTCATTTTTTTTTGTTCTAAACTCGGAAGATGACGTCATCAGTTTCGTGCTCTTGTTTTAGTGTAAACAATAAGCGACGTCATTTTAAAATGCGTTCTTGTCCCAAGTTTAAAGACTTTTCCGGTTGCATAATTAAAATTGTTTTCTACATTCAAATACGCCTTTATTTTTTATTTTTATTTTTTAAATAAAATTGTGGTTATACATTTAAAACATCTAACATATTATTTTCAACAAAAGTCCGTATAAAGTTCTTCATATATCGCTGCAGTTTCTGATGTGATGTCCGGGGAAAATATTTTGCGGACAGACAGAGAGAGAGTGCGCACGGGGGCCATTATATATTAGGATTTAGCGTAATACATAGGCGGGGTAAATGTTTCTCTTGAAAAGGAAACAATTTTATTTGATAACTATCCCCACAACACTTATGAATAACTGTATCGGTTGAAAGCTTTTAGGTGAGAGTGATAACTGTATCGGTTGAAAGCTTTTAGGTGAGAGTGATAACTGTATCGGTTGAAAGCTTTTAGGTGAGAGTGATAACTGTATCGGTTGAAAGCTTTTAGGTGAGAGTGATAACTGTATCGGTTGAAAGCTTTTAGGTGAGAGTGATAACTGTATCGGTTGAAAGCTTTTAGGTGAGAGTGATAACTGTATCGGTTGAAAGCTTTTAGGTGAGAGTGATAACTGTATCGGTTGAAAGCTTTTAGGTGAGAGTGATAACTGTATCGGTTGAAAGCTTTTAGGTGAGAGTGATAACTGTATCGGTTGAAAGCTTTTAGGTGAGAGTGATTACTGTATCGGTTGAAAGCTTTTAGGTGAGAGTGATAACTGTATCGGTTGAAAGCTTTTAGGTGAGAGTGATAACTGTATCGGTTGAAAGCTTTTAGGTGAGAGTGATAACTGTATCGGTTGAAAGCTTTTAGGTGAGAGTGATAACTGTATCGGTTGAAAGCTTTTAGGTGAGAGTGATAACTGTATCGGTTGAAAGCTTTTAGGTGAGAGTGATAACTGTATCGGTTGAAAGCTTTTAGGTGAGAGTGATAACTGTATCGGTTGAAAGCTTTTAGGTGAGAGTGATTACTGTATCGGTTGAAAGCTTTTAGGTGAGAGTGATAACTGTATCGGTTGAAAGCTTTTAGGTGAGAGTGATAACTGTATCGGTTGAAAGCTTTTAGGTGAGAGTGATAACTGTATCGGTTGAAAGCTTTTAGGTGAGAGTGATAACTGTATCGGTTGAAAGCTTTTAGGTGAGAGTGATAACTGTATC